AAAAAGTGTTACACGAGGCACACATGCGAGCAGCTTGGAGTAGCTCGTGGATAATATCATTTGATAGCAAAACATGAGCTCCATGTTCCCCAAGTGATTTACAACTAATTCTAACTATTATTATTTATGCCACTATAAGTTGTAAATCACTTGGAGAAAGTGTAGCTCAAGTTACTCTACTACGTGCTGCTTGCCTGTGTGCCTTGTGAACATTTTTTATTATATTATTATTATTATTATTTATTTTATCTAATCTAACCTTAAATAACCTAAAGACATTCCTATTTTTACATTTTAGTTACTTTTATAATAAAAATAAAGAATAAACATGAAAAACAAGAAATAAAGTACTCACCTGATTATTCTTTTTTTTTGTTGTTGTTGACTATTGATGACACTTAACCTTACTTTTTTATACTAGTGCTAGTAGTGCATTAAATAATTTTTATTGACTTAAATTATGCACCAAAGAACAGTGAATAATAACATGCAAAAAGCAGACAATTTCCTCTATCAATCACAATTTTTCAGGCTTTCTAACTATGTGACAAGAGCCGTTACAAGTGCATCCAAGCTAGCCGTTGTGACTCCAATGGGAATCAAAGTTATATTAGAAGTGAAATTCACTATTCTTTGTTCAGAACACAATGTTATACAGTACATCATTTGATAGATGATAACCTTGATTTTCTATTGGTTATAGGTAATATATATAATTAAACGTAAGAGAGAACTATCAACAAATTGTGAAAGAAAGGATGTGGCAGATAGCTCTGTAACCACACAAAATTGAAGGCTATAAAAATTGTGGTTTGTCTGAGCAATCATGATTTTATAGTGAGTAATTTACGTTGAATTTCATAGTTTCTGGGGGGGGTGGATAAAATAGAGATGAGAAGATAGCTAGAGAAAATGTGTTACGTGCGTCACACTAGGGGAAATTCAGGATTTTTTATAATATTACTTTATAAAATTAAGAACTTAGAACTTATATACCATTAAAATATGGATTATTAGCTAAGACTTTATGTTATACTAATTGATATAATATAAACAAAAAGTAGTTTATTAAAATTTTGAATGTAAGACATTAAGACCTCGTTTCATGTGCAGTAAAGGATACCTGTGGTGAGAGGGTTAACTATAAATATTTCATAGTCGCAATGATAAACTTTTTGACATATGGAATGTCTTCATTATGGAAAGATATAATGTGTGAATAATATGTTTATATGCTTTCATTTATGCATTAAATGAAATGTAGGTCAAATCTTGCTTTAATTCTTCATTTGTCATAGGTAAATATTTGAATTGTGCTCTACATTAACCGTCTTTGGGTAGGTCAAAATGCACGCATCATGACTTTTTAGAAAATTGCATTCAAAGTTTAATTAAACTACTTTATCATCATTGTATATGAATCAACTTGGCATTAAAATGTAGTTAATAATTCAAATTTTAATATTATATAAGTGTTAAGTTCTTTATTTTATAAGGAAATATTAAAAAAATCCCCAAGCTTGCCTAGTTTGAGAATTGTGACATTTGGTATCTAGGTCTTCCCTCTTTGCTAATTTATTTACCACCCATTTAAGAAGTAGGGAATTCAATGTAAATTACTCATTATAATATAAGTATTACTAGTGCAAAGCATAATTTTTATAGCTTTCAATCTTGTTTGTTTATGGAGCCATAAACTAGAAAATCAGACCCGCTTACTACATCTACCTGTCATATCCTCTGTTTCACAAGTTACCAATAGTTCTCTGTGACACTTTATACAATATTATTTATAACCAATAGATAGCCATAGTTTCAGTCTACCAAATGACTTATTGTATTAGGTTGTTTTCTATACAGAGTATTGTCTATTTCACCTGCAGTTTGAAACTTTTTCTCACGGTATTCACGTTGACAAGCTTAGCTAAATTTTCAATGGCTCTTATCTCATAGTTATAAAGTCAGATAGATTATGATAGTTATTGGACATTGCTGCTTTTTATGTGTTATTATTCTGTGTTCTTAGGTGCATTATCTAATTAAATAAGAATTATTTTGACATTTGCTGATTGTGTGTTTTTCCTTGCAGTTAACCAGCCAAACTATTTTCAACTTGTTTTCTAGCAAAGTTAATTTTATTACCTGTAATTCCTCTTATTTACTTTAACTTAAGCACGGTTTTAAGGGTTTATTTGAACAACTGTACCTTGCTAAATTAGGTCTGTACTAGTATGAGCAGCTGCTATTCTGTTTCATTTCTGTAGGATATAAAGTTTTTTTTTTAACTTCACATTCTGTCTTGTTTCTTTCATCAACAACAAGTCACAACATCTGTATTTCCACTATTGGGCCCATGAATTTCTTATTATTGCAAAAAATCAAGCATCTATGTACTTCGATTACTCTCGGAATATTAGACTTGTGAGCTTTTAGATTTATGTTTGTGTTTGAAAAAAGAAACTAAAATACTGAACCACTGCTTGCTTATATTTGTGCTTTTACTTTTGCAAATTAAAACTTATTTAGATAAGTTATTAATGTCTTGTGTTATATTTTGAACGGGTTTATCAGTTTTTTGGGTGGGTTATTAGATTAGTAACTCAAATTAAGTAGCAATAAGTATAAACAAATAAACTTTCCATTCTAGACTCATCAGAGCTTGATGTAACACATTGCCATATGTTTGTAAGCATACCAAATTTATAATGATGGCAAACATTTATTTATTTGCATTAAGTGTTATTCTTGTGTGGAAAATGTTTTTTAAAGTTAGTTTGATAATCATTGTGAAGGATATTTTATTCAATGGTAGGATCCAGATGAAGGCAAGTTTACACATCAGTTGGAGAAAGTTGTAGAAGAAGCTTACAAACTGCAAGAGCTGTGCAGCCAGCTGTTTCTCTATGAAAGCTCTGTCCTTTTTCGGGCAGATTCTGTGACGTCAGAGAGGCCATCAGAATATTATGGGGACAGAAGAACTTTGATAAGTGCTTCATCAGTAGACAGCTTTGTGTCTGCACATTCAGAGGTGAGTACAAATTCACACTTGTGTTACTAAACTTCTTATTTTGTTTGTTTTAAGATAAGTTATAAGCACTAGCATAGAGAGTGTAACTCTTTACATGGTAATGTTTTTGGAATGATTAAATTATAATTTGACTTTCTAAGTTTTTTTTTTGTAGAGTTCATTAAAAAGATACATAGATTGGATTTGTAATAATGAAAAAAAATTAATACTTTTTGTTTTTTTAATTATGCTCTGAGAAAAGATGCTTATATCATGATAAAAGGATGCCCAGTTTTTGAGAAGACAACACTAGGAAATATTGAATAGTGACTAAGTAATCCATTGATAACCCAAAGGTGCAAGAATGTTTGAGGTTGTGTCTTGTTCACCATAAATAATAAAGTGTTCTTAATGAAAAGTAGTCCTTACATCTTGAAATTGTTCAAGCCTTTTAAATTAATATTTTCTGCAGATCATATTTTACACTTTTGTGTAATATAAAATTTAAGAGTCAGTATTAGACTTAGAAATTTGTTAAAATACCATTAGAGATTCTGTTTTGAAAATATTAACAAATTATGTAACTTAAAATATCAAACAAGTTTATAAGGAAAAAAGTAATTATATTAAAGATTGAGTAACCATGTGCTTTTTCAATTTAAGGTGGCAGACATATCAGACTTCGATGAGTTTCTGGAGACTAGTGTTGATTTACAACATTTGGCACTCTACCAGACAGGTCTAAAGCAATTTGAAAGTGGAAGCATTCCTTTTCGAATTTTAAGGTTTGTATGAGTTGTTTCTATTTCAGTAAGCATCTGTCTTAAATCAGCTTTTTTTAGAATGTATGCATATAAGAAAAGAGCATTTAAAACATCTTCCCCCATGTTAGTTGGACATGCATGCTTCAGCATACCATAGGTCTGATTTTCCTTTTCTTGATTCTCAGACTTTGGAATCGCTTATTCAGGCACGGGGTTCTGATACATCTACTTCCCTTCGTTTTTCCTCTACTCATTTCTCTTGGCTCTGACTTATCCTAACAATGTTTCTATGTTATTTTTCATCTATTAATCTCTTTCTGAAGCTATCTACTGTTCCTCTGAGGGTTTTCAGCAGATATGTGTCCCCTTCTTTTCTTCACATTGGCATTTTTGTCTTTTTCAGCTTTCTCGCTCCATAGTTATTTTGTTGTTGGGATCTCCTTGGCAGGGATGCCTTTCTCTCACATGGACATTTACCTGCTTCTCATCTGCATGACCTTTTAATGTTGACATGCCTCCTCCAAACAAGTCTCTAAAGAATCAGTGACATCTACAAAAACAGATTGGTGCAGAAAAGGAGCAAGACTTCTATTTCTTCTTTTGTTTCCTGACTTTTTCAATCTACTCTTATTCCTGTTTCTTGGCCTCCAGCTTCCTCTCCTCTACCTGTACCACGTTCACATATTTTGGATCCTAGCTGTCTCGTCTTCCATTGTTGCCTTTTCAGATGCCATTATCATCAATAACTGCCCCTTAGATTTAGGATCAGCTGGGGTAAAGTTAGTCTGATTTGCTCATCTTCAGGTTTTGGCAGATGGTCTAATTCTTCAATTTTCCTCTCCTCCTCCTCCATTATCTCCAGTTCCCATTTTATTCCCTCCTCCTCGAGATCCACTGTTTTGCCAGCATCTTTCCGAGGCAGTTTGGATCTCTTGCAGAAAGATGCTATAGAACAGGTGTATCTTCCATCTCTGGAGTTTTATTCCCATCTATTCATTGTTCCCAAGAAGACAGGGGATTGGCATCTGTTTATTGATCACTTGAGTCTAAACCACTACATTGACCTCCCTCATTTCACTATAGAATCTTTTCTCAACCTCAGATGGTCATTTGGGTCGGGTGTTTCAAGTCCATGCTCTCCCATGGAGTGTTGGCTCCATACATCTCATAGTCAGAGCCTTTGCCAGTCATATTCTTGTTCTGGGACTGGTTTCACTATTACATGAATGATTGGCTTATTTTGGTTCCTTCCCAGTAAGCTACTCACAACCATGCCCATCTCCTTCTTCTTGGGTTCTCAAGAGATAGCCAGTCATTGATCTGTGGTCAAATCAACTCTACATATCAATCTTTTTGGGCATTTTGTTGTGATCCATGCCAATAATTTGACCATTGTCTCCTATATCAACCATCAAAGGGGCACCCATTCTTGTTCATATTGTTTTTGAACACTTGATCTCCTTTTATGGGCCCAATCTTGACAAGTTTGGCTTATTGCCTGTCACATCCCAGGCATTCTGAATCTTGTCACAGATTGTCTTTCTTGATTCAACAAGATTCTACCAACAGAGTGGTCTCTCCCCCCTCAGGTGTTCTAGTGGCTATGCTCCCATCTAGGTACCCTTTGTGGATACTTTTGTCATCCATCTCAGTACACATCTTCCTCTATTCTGGTCATCTTTCAGTTCTTGCTGTAGGTGTGCTCAGTCAGGATTGTACATCTACCTTCCTATCCGTCTTCTTCTCCAAGTCCTGTCACTTATTCAAACCACTCAATGTCTGTCCTTCTCATTGCTGCATTCCCAGCAATGGTTTCCACTTTTGGACATTATTCAGTCATCTCCCCTGCTGCTTCCTCTTTCCTAATCCCTCCTCCAGCAGTTTCATTCCTACCTCACTCATCCAGTGTGTTTTATCCGATCCCTTTGAGGCCTTCTGGACTCTCTTCACAGGTAATTTTCTTTCTTTCTCATTCTTTTTTGCTTGTTTACCAGCATAAATGGTCCATTTTCTGTTGTTGGTCTCTGTGTCATGGCTTCTCCCCTTTCCAACTGACTGTTCCTCACCTTTCTGACTTTTTCACTTGGCTTTGTGACAGTGGTTTATCCATTTCATCCATTATGGGCTATAAGGCAGTGTTATCCAATACTTTTCATTTTGGCCATATCGTTTCCTCTCTTGTTTCAGTCCTTTTGCCTTCTTCATCCTCTCTGTCCAGTTGTCCTACCAGATTTGAACCTCAGTGTTGCCCTTCATGTCCTCACCCTTCCTCCCTTTAAGCCTTTAGCTTCATGTTCTTTGTACCAACTTTCCCTCAAGACTTATTGTTTACTCCTATTTGCATCTGAACATTACAAGTCAGATGTGTATCCCATTGGCATTTCCCATAACTTTTATCATAATTTATATATTCTCCTTTATCTCAATCATGCATTTTTTCTGAAAATGTCTGCTGCGTGAGAGGGAAATAACTCATTCATTTTTACCCTTTCATCCATTGCTCATCTTTATTCCTGGTCTAATCCTCTTTGTCTTCTTTGTCCTGTGTGGACTCTTCATTGTTATGTTGCCCAAATGGCTCCTTTTTGTAGTTTCCAATCCCCAACTTCTTATCTATTGAAACTCTTCTACCCAAATTCTCTGTACAGTAACCTTTATTGGTTGGCAGTGCCAATTCATTTGTCTGGCTTGTGCTTCATTGACTGAAAATTCTCATTGCATCTTCCATGTTTCCTCTCATCAAATCTATCAACTCACCCTTTCCCTGGCTGCTCACTTCTGTTATCCATTAGAGGAGGTCGTGCAGGCTGGCAGGTGCACTACATATCACTCTTTTGTTGTACATTAACTGCATCATTTGGCCATCTCTTCCTCATTCGAATATTGTTTTCCACCTGTTGCCCTTCTCCATATCCCATTCAGGCTCTGAATGGGTAAGCTCTAATTTTTTATTTCTTACTTTTACAATGGCCTCTTTTGACATCCCTGGATCCCACTCTGTTTCAAGTCTGGGTATACTTAACAATAAATCTGTACCAGGAGACATTTAGTGTCTATAATGCTTACTGATTATGTCAAGGGTTTCTCGTGGTAAGTTGCTTCATAAATAAGGTCCATTCCAGACTGCACTCACTCATGGACTATCATAAGTAAAGCTGTGTGGGGTCTTAGTTTAATAAACTGGGACCAGCCTAATTTTCAAAATAAGGTTTTCATGGTCACCCATTGCACAGTCTTAACCCTTTGACTTCCAGTGCACTCTTTATCTCCTTTCTGCACATGACACAAAGTGTTACTGAGTTACATTGAAAATTGAATTAAACCGCTATACTGTCACAATTTTAATAAAATTTTTGTTATCAAGTATGTTATAATTCAAAGTTTAATATTATCTCAAGTTTTTATTCCTTTATTTTAAAAGAAACCTCTAAAACAATAATTAGAACTTTAGTTTTGTTGTGACATGGTGTGCTTGCAGTTACAAACATCTTAGCTTGCATTTCTTCTATTTCAATTCTGTTTCATCTAAAGTGTATGTTTAATGTCTAGACAGAATAGTAAGGGTATGAGCCACAAAATATGTTTCACATTACACTCAGAGACTTTGAAAGAGGAAGCTGTAAATCTTTCTCCCCTTCTGATAGTAACCATGTCCACCATCTAAAGCCAAAAAATAGACTCCTAATGAATATTTAGACTTTGAAGCTCATGTTTATAACCAATAGAAAGCTAATTTTAAACACCAAACTCTCAATGGTTAGCTTAAAACTGGTGCGTTTTATTCTTTCTGAAGTTCATCAAATCGCAGTACCATTATTGAATGCTTGTTGTCCTCTAGCACAGTTATTTTTTCCTTGACTTATACATATTAGTTTAAATTGTACTTAGGTTTTACTTTTATATTTTAGTTGATTATGTATTATTTTTGTTTTAAAATTCATATTTGAAAGATTTAATAATTTTTTAGTATAATCCAAACATAGCCTCGCTCCACTAGGCCGATGTTACTAAGTGAGATGAAAAATATTTTGGCAGAGGCTAAAGTACCTTTGCTGATGATACTGTTATATTACCTGCGGGCACCTGTTGATGTGTGTTGACATAAATAATTAACTGTTAAGAACAGGAAAGGAAAATAAAACATTAAAGTAAACTATAAGGGAAAAGGTAAAGATGTGGAATCATGCATAAGACCATAAGAAGACAATTTAAGATTTTGCGATGAAAAGTTAAAAGATATGGACATTTTTTTATTTTAAACGTTTCATTGCACTGTACGTTGATGATAACAGTTACAGTTAGAGATATAGTAGAGAGAATGAAAAATAAAATATAAAAATTTACCTTAAAAAACTTCATCTTTTCATATTCACCTAGGAGGTTCTAGAGGTTATGCAAATGAAAGTTGCATAACTGTAAGATGTAAAAAAAAAGTTTTTTTTTTTATACTTAACATGAAAACCATCTTCCATGTGAACTATTCAGAATCTGAATGCAAATAACTACAATAAATAGTACAACAGTATTTCATTTTCTATTCTTAGAAGTGCTTCCATTAATGTATGAGAATATCAAAAATTCTCAAAGTCTAGTATACAAAATATAATTGTTAACAAAATATAAAATTTACTAAAAGTGACATGGACTTTATCCTTGTAGCTGAGAATTAGAAGTATTTGTTAGCAAATTCTGATATATAAGTAGATATAAGTTTTTGGTTAACCACTAAAGTTCAAACAATGCTTTTGATGTAAATGTATCCCATACAAACACAAATCGTTTCTCTCGTTACATCAACATACAACACAGACACTTCTTTCAACAGTGGATCTTTCAATAAAAATGTTTTTTTTAATCACATAAAATTTTTCAGAAACCAAAAATGTATATACTTTAAAGCGTGATAGATTCTTTTGAATGTTTCAAGTTTGAAAAAGATCCTTATAAAACACAGCTATTAAAATATATTTTTTGTGAACTTATATTTGAAATTATTTTTGTCCACTTAGAGTGGATGTTTTGTAACAAATGTGTTTTGTATTTTAGGACAGAAACCATGAACTGCCAGTCAGATATAGAATTCCTTGCTAAAGTTCACTGTCTCAGACTTGGGTTTCAGGTTGGTGTAGCTTTTTTTGAGTACAGTATTCTTTTAACTTTAATTATTTATATGAATGACTAAATAAATTTTCTTTAAACTTTATTTAGTTTGGGATTTTAGAACACATCACTGAAATATAATTCTCCTGTTTTTTCCATTATATATATAGAGGAACTTGTATATTTTTATTAATCTTCTATTTGCAGAGGGCAGCATTTAATATGAAGTTAGTCTGACTTTAGTTAAGGATTTGTGACAAATAAAACAATTTTGAGATTACTTAAGTATAACATCATTCAGTATGTGTGTGTAATTTGCAATTTTTTTTAAAAACTAAAATTATTTTTCATTCATGAAAGGTAGAAGCATAAAGGAGCATACTGGGACTGTCCACTTCATACTAGTGACATGTGTAATATTATTACTGATAATAATTGTAAAATAAATTACTTGTTTTGTTTCTAATGCTAAATTCATGTATAAAAGGCACAAGGAAATGTAGATTAAATGAGCTAGAACATGTATTATATATATATATATATATAAAATGGTAGAAAAACAAACACAAAATTAACACTAAAAACAAATGAAAACAAACACTTAGATCTAGTAAATTATTCTGGACCATAGGTTTTTTTTTATATGGACAATTTGTGTCAAAACTGACAATTGTTGAATACTTATACACAAATAGCCAAGTTTGTCAACTAAGTAAACTGAATTTTTGTGGCTCTCTAGAAGCAGGGAGAGAGAAAAATATAATTCAATGGATTAACACCTACAAACTAAAAGAGAAAAGGCATTTGAATTAAAAACTACAATACTTCAAAAATCATTCACATAAACTCCAAACCCAAATACAAGTCATTTAATTTTTGTATAAAAAAGATTCTGAAACCAGTAATTTTTTTTTCAGTATTTGTTGGAAAAAGAAGATGCTCGAACATGGTTTGCAAATGCAGGAGGACAGCTTCTAAATGATATTTTGTGGTTTGCTGAACGTGTAAGTGCTCTGCATATGTGGATAATTTTAAAATTCATTATACAATTTTCTAACATTTCTAGAATACTTAAGCTTCTGCACTTGCTAGCTTGTTCCCTTTTTGGTTTTATTTTGTGTGTGTGTGTGTGAAGCAGGGATAAATTATGTTCTAAGTAATTATATCATTGAGATATTTGATGTGAACAGAAAAGCCTGCTTTTAACATGTTAGGTGTTGTTGTTTTTTGTTTAAAAAAAATCAGCTTATTCTTACCAGTTCTTGTCTGAAATAAGAATATTTTACTCTTTTTTTTTTACTAAGAGGAGCTTGAGCATTTTGCCAATATCCTTTTAATGAAGCAGGCATGGTCTAGTCTTGGTTCCAGAATCAAGACGTTATGCCTCTGAAACTTTTCAGCTACGAATTAACACGTTATAAATATAATAGTCAGTCCTATTATTTGTTCTGGCTGGTTGCCCTCCTTCTGATTTGTAGTTTGAAATTAGGGATGGCTGTATTTGAACCTAAGTCTTAGCTCATTTACATATAATGTTTTATTCAGAGTGGACAATTCAATTCCAGTTTCTTTTGATGATCAACCTAGGTGTTATATCTTAAGAAAAAATCCTAGGCTTGTGTGAAAAGTTTTGAAAAATAATGACAACAACAAACTTCAATCACAAGTAGATATTTATTTCCTGAAGACTTCATTTTACTAAAAATTGACAGTAGTTGATTTTTATTTTTATGATTGTAGAATTTCGTAAACAGAATTTTCAGTAATATAGAGCTTTTCATTTAGCCTAAGTTCTTTGGGTTTTACTCAGTTTTTTTATTCATTCAGACATTCAAATAATAATAACAATCCAAAAAATATTTCTTTGAGTATGTGAAAATTAAAAGATTGTTTCTTGTATTGTTTAACAACTCATTTATATCACAATGTAATATATATATGTTAAGCTTAAAATAATATACCATATTTGCACTTGTTCCTGTTTCTTTGCAACAAACATGTTTTTATCATGTTACAAGATTATAAATTTACTCAAAATTTTACCATTAACAGGGTTACAGTATGAAAATGTTTACTGTTTTAGATGGACTGAATAGTAAAATAATTATGTTATACGTATATTAAATTAAAATCTAAATAGTTTATTTTGATAGTTACCCATTTTTTTAATTCCTGTTTTTGACTTACATTAAATTCAGTTGAACTTCCATTAGGACATTTGGTATATTCAGTTTATTTTTTCTTATTAATTCAAATTCACTTGAGATCATACAATAAATTTTGAAGGCCCTTATAATGCTGTATTAAAGATATGTTTCAGTGGTAGAAAGCTCTGTGGTTGTGTAGGTCTTCTAAAAAAAAACAAGTGTGTGTGTGTATTTGAAGTTTGTTAACCTTAGATGAATTACAATTCTTTGAAGTCAAGGTTCTTTTAAACAAGATATTTTTAGCAAACATGATCTTTACCCCTGCAATGATATATACTCCTTAGAGAATATTTCAACATTTTATGCAAGACATTCTAACTTATCATCTCAAGAGTACTAGATGCTATACAAAAAATCCTGCCCTGGTTTGTTTAATGACGAAGCAGTTTAGATAAAATAAAAACTTCATTTAGCATAGCAGATATTCTATGTGAAATAAAACTGGGATACTTAAGAATGTACAGTGACCAGTTGTAAGTGTTATTTAATTTCTGAACATGCTAATCATTGTGTGTGTTGAGAAAGAACCTGTTGTATTGCACACAATTATTTGCTGAATTCTTTATTTTCTTTAGGATCCCAAGGACTGTTTAGCTGCATATGATAATCTACTAGATTATGTTAATGACCAGAAGAATTGGAAGCAAATGGAAGAAGAATTACAAGGACGAGGAGTAAGAAGTCATGAAAATGTTTATTGCTGTATTATTATTTAATATTTGTGGAAATTACTTCTAATTTTTACTTTAAGCAGTAATCAGAAAATTTTCAATAATTATTGCAGTGGTAGTTATAGTGAAAGAGTATTTTATGAAAGTTGAGGTGTTTGGAATTGCATTAAATAGCATTGGTGGTAATAGTTTTATATAAAAATTGATTTAAATAAATATTAAATCCAACAATCTACTTGTAAGATCGAATACTGAAGTTTTAATGAGAAGATTTTATATGTTTAGACACTAAAATATGTATTTTGTAGTAGTATCAAGTTTTAAAATATTGTTTCTTTTTTTTTAAGTGTGCTTTGGCTAACAATAAACACTAACTAAACTTGTGCATTTATGTTTTTATGTGATTAATTCTGTTAGGACTGAATGAGTCAGCATTTCTGCCATAGTGGTCTATTTGCATTTTTCTGTCAAATGCTATTTTTACAAGAATATTGAAAATTAGAAAATCAAAGTTTTTAATAAAATGAGACCTAAATTATATCAGATCATATTTTTCATTATGATATTTACGAGCATAATCTGTATGATTATGATTATATATGTGTGTGTGGGTGTTAAACCTTAAGTTTGAAATCAGTTCTAGTGAGTAATTAAAAAATCTTGTTAAGGGTTATCTTTTGCAATATTTATTTCTAAGTTTTTGAATAAATTCAATTTATTTATTAACTGTAGGCACACTTTGGACTTTTCATCAATATTTTTGATTCAGAAACCCCTTATTACCAAAAACATCATAACTGAAATCTTTCATAGTTTGTTCAACTTATAGTTAGAACATATTTAATTGTGTTTGTTTATGATCCTTTTACAGTTTTGTTTTTTATCATTCATTACAGAACAAAATTTGCTTCTAAGGTACTTGTACACATGAACTAATAATATTACTCTGAGATAGTGTGAACCTTGATACTACATGTATCACTAAAAGAAGTGATTATTTGTCATCTTACATAAACTTTAGTCTAAACATCGTAGGTAACTAACTGTATTTTGACAAAATTTTGTTTTGTTCCCTAGGTTAAATGTCTTTCCTTCTATGATGTGGTGCTGGACTTTATCCTTTTGGATGCATTTGATGATTTGGAAAACCCTCCTTCATCAGTTCTAGCAGTAGTTCAAAACAGATGGTTATCTAGTGGATTTAAAGAAACAGTGAGTTTACTATGATATCTAGTACATCACTCATTTACAGAATTTATGTAAATAAAATGTTTGTCTCCAATTTAGAAATATATTAAAGGCAATATTGTTTTGATGCTGTTTTTAACACTCTTCGAGCATTTAAGTTAAATGTAAGAATATGTGCAATACTTCTTTAAGTCTGTTTTGTCCTTACAACTTTGCTTTTATATGTTATTCCTTAATTTCAAAATTATCATTCCAAGAGTACTAACTGTTCTAATGTATAAATCTTAAACCATAATACTTTTTTAATACTGTTTTTCCTCACAGCTTTAAGTTTGATCCCTACTGTATTGCATTTGTCTAAAATCACATGCATTTCTAATGAAGAAATATATTTAAAAAATTATTATTACTTTGAATGTTTGAACTTTTTTAAAAGTTTAAAAATAGTTCTTTCATGATAGTTGCTGCTCTTTTTGAATGAGAAGATGTCTAATAAATAAGTCCTTTCAAATAATTCTGTTGGTTAGTCAGCTTGAGACTTAAATTTTAGAATTATGATAAATCTAAGAATTTTTTACAAAGTAAACCATGATGTGATACTGTAGTTTAACCTTCTGGATTCACTTTTGATGACTTGAGGATGTCTGGACATCTTAGGTTATCATTCCAAAAGTACTACGTGCTACAAAAAATAAAACAAAATTCCAGATTTATTAAACATTATTAAAAAAAATATTGTTGTCTTTTACACCCATCAGTTACTGAATGAAAAATGTAATAATAAAAATTAGAAATATTATATTCTTCAGCTCTACTTCATTTAACAATTTTGGTACATAAATATTCTTCCTTGGAAAGGGTGTGACAATCACTCCAGCTATATGCAACCCACAGCAGCATTGCCTTGTTGAAAACTTACTGTGAACCAAAACCACACATACTAACGTTATTGTCTTGCTCATAGTTTTACAGCTTGCATCTGTGGTAACATTTCATTTCACTTCCTTTTACAAATTGTTCATACGAAGTGGAATTAACCCTATGTATTACTTCATTGACACAACTTCCATTCTTTTATGGTCGTAAATATATATGCTCTTGCTGTTTGGGTATATTTATTTATTTATCATAGTTTTACCACACTTAGAAAAAGATTATTACATTTTTCTGCATTATTTTGATAAAATGTTAAAGCTGAAAAAATACGGGGATCTGAAGGCATTTTAAGGAATTTATTAGATTCTTGAGCATTACCAGCATGTCTTCTTATGATGAAATTCATATTAACAATGTTACATTGAAAACATCAAAGAGAATTTCACACATTGAAAGTCTTCTGAGCATAATTATTATGTGCTATAAAAAGTTGGTAGCTCACACTTGATAAAGATAAGCCACTCTAAATAAGGGCAAGCCAAGTAGCTTAAATCTGTGAAATGACTTCTTTTAATATTAAACAAAGAATAAATGGGAAGATAAACACTTTACGTGTTTTTCACATTAAAGTGTGTTAAGTGTATTTTAGATTATTTAAACTAAGTATTATGTTAAAATTTATCTTTCTTTTGTTTTAGATTTGGTTTATAAATCACACAGAGGAAATTTCTGATTATAATAAAACTGTTGAGTTGAACATTCTTTCAAATATGAATAATTTTTTTCATCAGTTTAAGCATGAAACAAAAATATTCTAATAGTTATCAGTTAAGTAACAGTAAATGATAAAAGTGAGACAGTCTTGAATATATATATCTGTTAACATGAATGAGCTAAAATCAGGATAAATAATATCTGTCATGATATAAAAATTGTTTAGTGTAGATAGTATTAACTAACTTATTTTGTGAGTTAATATTTTATGATTTTTTTTTAATAATAAGAGAGTTAAAAGCAGATGATTGTTGGAAGTTGTATTTATAATTCAGTGATGTTGAGACTATTGAATGTTGTGTGTAATACATGAGAATATAGAGGTTTCTAGAAAGTGGGCAGACAATTAAGTGATAAATATATAAATAGTGTGAGATGAGTGGGAACAGCAGACAGACAATAGCAGAAGAGAGTAAAGTCACGGCCAAGGAAAAGTTTGGCATGAAGTTAACTGCTGTAGAAGTGATAGGCCTAACGTTTAATATGTTAGAGTAAAACTAACAGTAGAAAAGGAGATAAGAAGAAGAATTTATTCCATCAAAGCATGGTTCTAAAGTAATTGGATCAGCTTGAGTGCACTTTGACAAGAGGAATAGAGGGTATTTTGAAGAAAGAAGACCAATGGATAACTGGAAGAGCAGTATACAACTGTGGTATCTCGTGCCACAATTGCAAGTGAATTATACACAGAATACTAGTGCGATAGAAATAAGGAAAGGTACTTACGGCTTACCAACTGAAATTCTAAGGTAATTGACTAGGCCTAAGTGGACTTTTGACAAGAAGAAGAGAACCATATAGTGTTTATGATATCCCTATAATCTTTATAGTGTAAAGAATTTGTTGTAGGTATGTTTAACTTTTTCCAAATGTATATATTCGTTTGAAAACAAGTGGAGTGAATGCTATTCATTTATCATCAACAAGACACAGACACCTACTGTATAAGAATCCTTCGCCCAACAACAACACAATATATATATATTTATACTATTAATATATAGCATTTAATTGACAATTGACAAACATAACTATGACATTCGACATTCATCTTTACACAATTTTATTGTACACTTTTAAGAAAAAACCAAAACGTAACTCAATGTACCATAAGCATAACGTAGCTATTTAGTATTGTAGTGTCAGCATGTTACAGGTAAGCAAATTTATTTCTGTTACAGCTCACCACCAAAGGGTAGGATCATACTGCATAAGTAAACACTAATGCTAAAGTATGTAGATTTAGTACATTATATATGTATATTTGTAAATACTTTTGTATAAATGCATGTAACATTTTTTTATGATTTTTCAACTTTTTTCAAGACACTTGGATTGTTATGTGCCAGTTGTTTACAAGAATTATTCTTTTATATCTAATCTCAGGCTCTTGCTACTGCTGTATGGTCGGTCCTCAAAGCGAAGCGTCAAATGCTTAAGGTATGGCTGTTGATTTATTTAAACTTTTCATTTGGCTTTTGTTACTTTTGGTGTGATTCACAGCTATGTATAATTTTACTTTTGAATCCATTTGAAACACTTATTATCCTAACCTCTTTTTCTTTTTTTTTTTACTTGCCTACCAATATCAAAGATATGAAAATCAATAGCTATTAAACATTGTCAAATAAAATGATTGTAAAAAAAATAAGTAAAGATGTTTCAGTTTATCATTTTACAATAAAGAAAAGTAATGAATGAGTCACTGAAGTTCATTGACTCTATCAAACTGTATTTAGTATTGAAGCAAAATGAGAGCAATCATAAAAATATATGTATTACAATGAAACCTACATTACTCAAGAGCCTCTCTAAGGTGAAAGGAGGGTTATATGTACTTGTGTCTTGTGTGTGAGATTACCTGTGAGTATAAGCAGGCTGCATTAGCATGCATGACCGATAGTAATGAGAAATTAGCTGATAGCATACATTGCAGCTCTAATGAACATAAAGCTGTTCTAAAAGTGACAATTATGTGCTTATATGTAATTGTCTCTTTAAACATAACCAGTAACACAAAATCAAATTTTCCCATATTTTGTAAAACAACACTGCAACAAAATGACTGAATTTGAGCACAAGATATTTTGGGTGCCAATTTGGGAAATAGAGCTATAAGTGTTTGATATTGTACTGATATTACTATGTTTACTTGTTATAAATCCAGTAATATGCATGGTATTGAAATAAATTACAATATCTTCTTAATACATGTATTTACATATGTTGTGATTATTTGTAAATCACAAATGCTAATACTAATTTCTCCCTTAGAATATGCATATCTCATATCATGATTTTGAGCCTCCTAGAACACTTATGTAAAGTTTAGCAGTGCTTCCTAATTTGTAAAATTGTAAAAAGTTAATTCTTCTAGATTTTTTTTAACTTGCATTAGCTCAAAACAAACAGTTTTTCTCTCATAAAAACTGTTATCAAATTAATAATTTATGCTTTTGAGTTTACTTACTGACTAAGTATTATTTTATTACAAGTTACAACTTTCACAGTAAGGAAGATTATTTTTTTAGGACAGGAAGGACATTTTGATCATTAACATTGTTTGATTGTTGAATGTTCATTTAAATACTAAAACCTTATTTACTGTTAAAACTTGTGTACTTGAGAATGATTGCACCAGTGAATTAAACGTCATACTTGTTCTAAAATATAATCTTCCTTAATGTAAAAGCTGTAACTTGAAATAAAATTAAGAATTTGGTTGAATGATATTTGTTATAAAACTATTTTCAGATTTTTTAACTAAATAGCAACTTCAAGGTATGCATAAAGATGTAAATCTGTTTTCTTAGTCAACCTGTTATAGATCAACTTACTTTATTATTGGTTCTGCATTGTGAGATGTATAAAAGTTTTGTCTCTTTCTCAAGAAAAGATGCACAAACATATATATATATATATACATACATACGCAAATTAATGCACACAAATATATATATATGTGTGTTTGTGTGCATTCGTTTGAGAGCAGATATATATATATACGTATGAATTATTTAACTGAACATCATTGTTTTTCTTGTAGTTTGTATGTGAATGTTCTTCGCAAGTACAAACATTGTGAATAATAGTAATTTAAATCCATACAGACAGTGGTATTATATAGTATCAAGATAAATTATGGACAGAAATACAGTCCTCAGAATTGTATAAAAAATTGAGCAATAGCAAAATGTGGCAAGAAATATCATAAAATTTTGAACTAAGCTGTAAAAATATAAAAATGAAAACCCTTTTTGCAATAAAAGTATTGATTCTTTAAAACATGTAATCTTAATATACTGTGGAAGTAAATATTTATATTATTATTAATTATAGATATCTTGATTATGTTAGGAAATATAATCCAATTCAGTTTAACTATCAAAAGATGTGATAATTTAGCCTTTGTAGTCTACATGAATTGGAAAATTAATTGAAAATGTCAGTTTTAAATATATGAAATGTGAATAATAAACTTGAAGAGTGTCAGAAATGGTTGAGTTACAGCTAAAAAATTAATGATTTGATAGTTGAACTATCAAATGTCATAACTTGTTTCACTTGGATGTTTCAGTTCTACAGATAGAATTTTATAGACATTAGTAAAAAGATAACACTACAGTTTCTATAAGAATTTCATGTATTTGTATAACTAGACATAATAATAACAGCTAATAATAGCTTATCATTTATCTTGTGCAAAAAAAAAGCTATGATAAGTTGTTATACTTTTTTTATCACATTTGATAAAAATTAATTTAGTAATTTGTATGAAGAAAAATATTTGTGATTCCCAAATAAGTTAATTTATTGTAATGTTTCTAAAATATTTTTAGTTGTACATTTGAATATTTGATTTAATATTTGTATATGTGGTGCTATATAAGGGAGGGATTTTAACAATCAACTGTATTTTATTGTACATAATACAGACTTACCACAAAAAACAGTAATGAAAGGGTTAGGCTAACAGTTACAGATGCTAGAGGTTATTTAGTAATTGTTCTTGGTATATTGTCACAGTGAGTTAGATTGGATTCTATTCTAAGCCTTGTACTAAAATACATAAACTACAAAATTGATGGCATATTTGTTATATGTACAGTTTGATATTGAATTTTATACCATAATTGTTTTTCATTTAAGTTCCTCCATCATGCAAGGATGTTTATAAAATGATTGATTTTGTTCATATTTATTTATTATTATTATTAGTTTTAATGATTATTTATGTACATATGTTATGGGTTGTCTGAATCTGGAGTTTTCTGAAATGTCCTTGATGTTTTTTTATATGAACATGGTACATGTAGTTTTAAAGTTTATGAAAACACCTTAACTTCCTATTCACTTCATGAATGTCAGTCAAACTGAGTATGTGCTTGAACGTCCATAACTTGTCTTCATTTATAGGATAAAAAAGTTATAGTTTGATACCATATACTAGGTAGATATTACTTGTTTGTAATTTTAAATATATTATTACAGTTTCCAGATGGATTTATTGCTCATTTTTATGGTGTTTCGGAACACCTGAGTCCTGTATTGGCATGGGGCTTTCTTGGACCAAATGAGCAATTGAAACAAGTTTGCCTGTTCTTCAAGGTAGGTATCATTGGTCTTATTTGTCTAGTTATTAAATATATCTGCTTGGGAGTTCTGTCACATTTTACCCAAGACTCTACAAGTTTTTTTTATTCTTGGGTACTGATTTTTGTTGCTTCTGTAAAGAGAAATGAAACCATTATTACTGGTATAGACCATGCTGAAATAGGTTGTGGTATTTTAAAATAGGAAGACAACCTCAGTGAAAAAGCTCTCAGAAGTAAAAAATATTTTCAGTGTGTTTTACAAATAAAAAAGTATATAATCATGAAGCTATTAGATAATTAAGTTCTGCATAAAGTACCACCCCCAAAGAAGATATAGCTCTTGCATTGTTAAAAAAATTGTGGAAACTTTTGGGGGCTTTAATCTTGGTACTGATTTTTACTCATTAGTTTTATTGATGTTTAGCCTACATTTGATTCAAGGAGCACAATATCCTGGTTACAGAGGAAGTTCAAATATAAAAGTAAATTCATTCACAAGTTACTAATTTCTGCAAAAAAAATGTTTTTGTATTGTACTTATTATCGTATTCATCACACTTTTAGTTCTTAAAATAGAAATTTTGATTATACAACAAACTATAATACATTAAAGGGTGACTTAATGTTACCAAGTGGATTTAGTCAAGGATTTTCTGTGAATCTGTCATATTACAAGCACAAGGGACATTTCTCAGTGTGTGAAAATGGGAAAGAATAATCACTGAGAATTAAACATCAACACTGCTTACTATTTGAGAAAAGTAATAATAATAATAGCAAAAAAAACATATTCAATAAGAATTGTTTTTGACTATCACCAGTGTAATTTCATTATCTTCGTATTGTTTATATATAGTTTCTTTATAAATAAACCAAAATGTGAAAAAACATTGATATTTGAAGTCATAATTTTTAAGTTGTTCCACAAAAACTACTTGCATTATTTTTGCTAATTTACACCTTTAGATTTTACTACTTATTAATATGAAGCACAGCGATTTTTATATCAAACACTATGTATCTTATCCTAACTAGGGAAATGCATTTCACTTAGTTCAAAGATGGAAAGAAATTATAAAAATATTAATCTTGTATCTTGATTGAGGCTTTCTGTACGGTAGTTATAGTACTGTAATTGATGCTATTGAGCTTATTGTCTTGATACTTCTAATGAATTAATAAATCATGGTGTATTATAACTTGTGAATTTTCTTGTCTTTTTTCGTATTTGGGGAATTCACATGTGTACAGCTGTATTCAACTCATTTTGACCAACAATAACCTACAAGTTGACATTTGGCAATTTAGATGGACTACTAAAATCAAATAAATATATTTTTTATGTGTACTCTTTCTTTATAGAATTGTCTTTATCATGAGAAATTTTCATATTTTTAACTTCTAAAACAGTGCAATAAGAAGTTGTAGCATTGTTTTTTTCACTAGTTTTAGAAGAGATAGCTTCCTCACTTTTTTGTAATGTCTCATATCAGAAACTTAAAAGATCTTTATCTGATTTTCCTTTCCAAAAATAAACATTAAAAAGATGTTGCTTTCAATCAACCATGTTTTTCTTATGTTCACCAATTAAACACTTGAATAACCAGTTTTAATTATCACTATTATTACCTATCTTTTCCTTTCTACGAACGTAAAAATAATGTTTATACTTTTTATGCTTCTGGGAAAGCAAAAAAAAACTTTGAGTCTATAAAGCTTGTGCCCTGCTTAAATGTCACAGTGACCCAATTTCCAAAATAGTTTAGGTATTTCTAGTTACCAGTTTTTGGAACATTATGATTCTGTGCACTTTTTTGAAAGAAACAATAAATTACCTCCTACAAAGTGAGAAACTGAATGCTCCATCCATATTCTCCCATTGGCCACCCACAGTTGACATACTGAGCTAAGAGAAGCGTAAGAGATATTATAAATATACAGTGACCTTTGCAAATTGTTTGATTGGTAAAAGTATTTTTATTTTGCTGCCCTAGGGAGTTGCTTCTTCTGTCTGTCCAGTAATACCAACCCCAACACATGTGCTACTATTTTAAGAGCTTAGATATAAATTGTCATTTTGTTATGTATTTTAATGTACTCTCATAAATAAACTACCAAAAAATAGTTACATCAGTGCAAAAGTGTTATCAACCAAATATGAAAAATCACAGTGGAAAAGAATGATACAGCTTACCTGTAAATTGCTGGCAAGCAAATCAGAAAATACTTACAATTAAATCTTTGAACATGTCTAAACAGACTGCTTACATTTTTACCAACAGTAATAAAACTTAAGTAAAAAATGAAAACCAAAATCTGATAATTATTTCTTAGGATGAAGTGCTGGGATTTTTAAGAGACATTTTTAACTTTGGAATTGTACGGTACACAAGAGTGGAAGATCTTGCAGCTGACATTGCCCAAATAGCAGAGGAGAGGTACGACAGAGCTTGCCAAAGGCTGTCTTTATAGCTGTGTATATATTTTAGGTTAGGCTAGTTCATTGTAAAAGAAATCTTTATGTAAATTACTGCATTGACAGCATGTTGTTTAATAATACATGGAAATGTAATGTTCTTGCACCAGAGACTGTTGTAGCAACTGTTCAAGAAAGAAGTATATAAAGGATAAAATATGTAAAATGTTGTAATTTTAGCTTATTGTAGTATTATATAGTTTAAGTCAAAGCATGGAATGATTTAATTCTTAAAAATATTTACATGCTAAACAAAGAAAAATCTTTATCTTGTTTAAAAAATTCAAAAAGCAAAGTTGCAACTGCAATACTTACCCTAAATAATTTTATTTCAGTTAACAAAAAGGACCTTTTAACTAATGAAATGTTTGTATTTAAAACAAAAAAAACAATAACTGTATGTAATTATTTTTGTCCAGTGTATAATATTTCTGTGAATGTCTTGTGACTTTTGGATTAAATGTTTTTTTATTAAAAAATCATTATTCTTCTTCTTTTACAATAGGTTATTGAATAGAATTACAGCATTGAATATTTTTTGTTCTTTTATTTTTATTTCAATTATTTTTTTCAGCTGTTAAATGTATAATCTGAAAAATAATTAATATAAAAGATTTAAAAAAATATCTTCATCATTGTTGGCTGAAGCATCAATCCTTTGACTACATTAACTTTATAGAACATTACTTTTTCAAGAGTCAATTATAATTAGATTATGTTTTAAGTGTTTCAGTTCTATACATAAAAATTAAGCTGACTGAATAGAGTACTTGAAGTAATATGATAATGTGTTTTCTTGGTGTTAGAGAGGTCAAGTAATAGTTAATAACAGAGGTCAAGTACTAAACTTTTAGTTAGTTATTAATTTATCTATATCAAGATTATTTCTTTAAGCTTTTTTTAATGATGTAATTCATATTTTGAAAATGTGGAAAACTCTTTGTGTATTATAGTGCTATTAGCAACAAATTTATTCCAAGGCTGTTTAGTTAAAAGAACATGAAGACTGTCTTATTTTTTTATGTGGTAAAATGAATCTGTGGAGTATTGACATGTTTTACCAAAGAATTGTGTGAATCTGTGCAAATTTTGTATTTGATAGAGAAAAACTAATAACTGATGTGTAAACTCAGAATTAATGGGTGAAAGTTTGATACCTTGTAATTATTGATTTTAAAGTAAAACAAGAAAAATTGTTGAATGTTATCTTCTGTATTATAAGTTATCATATGCATACTATGGTGTTGTTCTGTTTAAGGAATGTAAATACATTTGCTCTTTTATCCCAAAGTTGTAATTGTCATTTTTATTAAATATAAACATGGCTAAATAAGAAATTTACAAACACAAGAGGAAGCAACAAACATGTCTGTTATGCTAATAGACTATAGCCCAATCTCAAACTAGAACTATTATATACAAACCACATATGATGCATTTACATCCTTAAAAGATAGATGTTATTTTTATTTAAAACTTAGTTTTATAATGAATATTAAAAACTTGGTAATGCCAACAATATGTGCTGCTGATATAGCTGAATTTTTAAGGTCCCAAGTGTCAGGTTTGTGCTGGGATACAAAATCTTCCTTTCTGCTGATAACCTGAATGTTTGTTTGTTTGTAATTAAGCAAAAGCTACACAGTGGGCTATCTGTGCTCTGTAACCATGGTATCAAAAACCTGGTTTCTAGCATTGTAAATTCGCAGACACCTCTGTATCACTGGGAGGCAACCTGAATGAGCTCGGAGACCACCAGTGGTCTTTGACCCTTTGGTCTAAAGCATTACATCCTCAAAATTATGTGACCTGGACTGGTTTTTCTTGAAAGAATTTGCTAGTTGCCAAGCTGTCCCTCTTAAGTCTACTACGAAATCAAGTCCTAATCCAGTTCGCAATAACATTTCAGAATTATGGTAAATAAAAATGTTGTCCTAATAGCCATCTCAGTTAATCTTTTGCAATAAGCTTAAATTGTAAGAAATACAATTTAGAGCTATACATTTAAGTTCTATATTTAAAGAATTGCATAGTTACACAAGTAACATAATGCATATCACATGGAAAGTGTGACACATACTAATATAATATACAAAAAGTTCTAGATTAACTGTTGTGTTTTGCTAAATCAATCCGAAGTATATAAGTGACATTATATCTTATATTCTCTGCTGGAAATAGACACACAAGTTAGATGACATAATTGGGGACACCTTTGCCCACACTAAGTAAATAGGCAAAGCTCTGTTGCCTTTCTCTTTATCCCTCTTTCCATGGGCATTTTTTCTGTGCGTGTCAATACTATATTATGCAAGAGTTTCAATACTATATTATTTATAACCAATAGAAAGCTAAGGTTTTCATCTATCAAATGTTTTCTGTACAGAGGGGTGCCAATTTTGTTTCAGTTCAAGCTTTATTCCAACGGGTAGCAAATCTATGAACTTAGATGAATTTTTAACAGCCATTATTGAATAGTTACGCTCACGAATATCTTGTGCATACTGTACTTCGATAGCATAATGTGAGCTGCACGGTTGCCAAGTGATTTACAATTACAACTTATAATGGTGCAAATAGCAGTTAGAGACAACTTAAAGGGCAATAAAACAATAACATTTAAGTATAAATAGATGTGTGCTTTAACGAGTTTAAAGCTATTTAGATTAAACAAATGTGGTTTCATGGTATAATTTTAAGTTATTCTAGAAAGAAGAAAATAATTTAGATTTATTTTTTCTTTTTATTTTTTTGCTGGTGGTTAGGAGGTTGGTCAAATTGACCACTTTTGTACAGAGAGTAGTAAAAATAACAGATAAAATATTAAGCCTTACTGAAAAAGTCTGAAATTTATTTAGGAATGTTTTAGAGATTATGCAAATGAAATCTGAGACTTTTGAGACGAAGAAAAGTATTTTTAATCTTAATGTGAAAACCACTTTGCACACGGACTAGTACAATAAAATAATATATATATTCACAGACAAATCTTTAGTAAAAAATCTGATTTTTTGTGTATAAAAGATTTGTAATATTTATTAAAAGTCTGCCAAATTTTATGAAGATATACTTACTGAATTAAAAGTTGTAATATGGAAACTATAACGATAACAAAATTGTTACAGATTAGATTCAATCGACCTTGTAGAGAGAGAGGGAAGAAACAACTGTGGGCAACCTTTTCCCACACTAAGTAAATAAGCAAAGCTCTGTTGACTTTCTCTTTATATAAAGACACATCGTGCACTTGATAAGGCCCATGTTTAGAAACACTTGATTTGTATACACCCTGAAGCATAACCTGAAGGTCACAATGTAATATACAGAGTTGCATGTTTGATCCTATTTTGCAAACGAATTCTCCCTTCTAGAGTGTGAATAAATAATTTAATATAAATTTAACAGTAGACATATTCCTTGGTTTATTTCATCGCTGACAAGTGAAATGTGGAAGTTAGGATGTCGTGTAATGTAGATACAATGTTTGAAAAGTCACTGCACTGGAAAACAGAAATTCGTTTTTGCTTTACTTTGACAATCTATGTAACAGATTTGTATAACTGACATTGATATTTTTAATGTTTCATCTAAAATAGTTTCAAACAACATATTAAAATTGGAACATTACTTGTCACTGTAGTTAAGTGGGCCAACACCTCAGAAACAGCAAAACTATTCATGTTGTTTTGTTGCTGTTAGTTCTCTGCCAAATTTTTTAAGTATAACTTGACTGTCAGTTAGATTGGAGGTAAGCACAAAGCTACACAATGGGCTATCTGTGTTATGCCAACCATGGGTATCGAAACCTGATTTTCAGTGTTACAAGCCTTCAGACTTACCGCTGTCATGTTTGTCGAAATGACAGTTTCTCTCAATCATTACTGAGTGAAAGAAAAAAAGGATTTCATTATTTTAAAGTTCAGATTAGAGTTAAGAATTCAGCTATCTAAATATCCCTTTTCCTAATTTATAGGTATGTTTCACAAAAATTTTACATTTATGGCTATTAAGAGGACTTAAGCCCCCAAGTATTCCCATTCGTTGCCCGCATGCTATAACTTAAGTAATATAACACTGGTTATATTTGTATCATGTCATAAATAAGCATTATAGTAACATTAAAGCTACACTATTGCTTAGCCCACACAAGGTAAACACGAATAACAGGCACCATTGTGAACAGTTAGTCTATCAATGGCTACTATACCACACCTTCACAAGTTGTGTATAAGCAGAACATATGCAGCAACGTTAGTACTAACTATTATGCTGTGAGAGTTCAGTTGGTATGTATCTGAAGCTGAATAACTGTGTCAGTTATAGCAAAACCACTAATTTTGAACTGCCTACCACAGAGAGGTCAGTTGGTTGGCAGCACCCACTTCTAACGCTTGGGCTACCAAACATGTTTGCCCTTTCAGCCATAAGGATATTATAATGGCACAGCCAATTCACCTATTAATTTGTAAAGTATCAGTCCAAAAGTTTATGGTGCATACTGCCAGCTTGTTGCCCTCCCTTTGGTCAGTAGTACAAAATTACGGACAGTACCAGATAGCCTTTGGAGCTTTGTCATTATTCAAAAACAAATTTAATGCCCCCAAACCTGTTTTATGGCAATGGAAATTAAACCCAACACCCTCGAATCACAAGCAACCCTCCTAATCACCAGACCATGCTGACTCAAAACTGAATAAACTTGAATTAAAATACAAGAAAAAGAAAGAGAAATAATAATGACAATATTTTGTTAACATGAATAGTTGGAGTAATCAAAAATGGTATAATCAGAAACACAAATCTACTATTTTTGCAACATTTGTTTTAATTGTAATTAACTGATTACGTGACACTAATTGAAGTTCATAAGTAACTGATTGCATACAGTTAATCACTCAGCTCTATGAATCTATATATTTAATTCTGATGTATGTGTGAACTGCTGACCAGAGAGAAGTCAATTGGTTGGCAGCACCCACTGCTAATGTTTGGGCTACCAAGCATGTTTACCCTTTCAGCCATAAGGGAATTATAATGGCACAGCCAATTCACCTATTAGTTTGTAAGATATTAGCCATAAAGTTCATGGTAGGTGCTGTCAGCTTGTTTGAACAAGCAACATTTTTTGGTTTAATTGTAATTAACTGATGACGTGACACTAATTGAAGTTCATAAGTAATCAATTGTATACAGTTAATCATTAAGCTCTATGAATGTATATTTTTAGTTCCGATATATGCGAGTAACTTGCTTTGATCAGAACTTAATATTAGTGTTGACTGCACAGTTATTTCTTGTGCTTTAGTGTTGTAAAGATTTTAGTAAAACTGAATTTATCATCTACATTTAATTAATCATTCTGCATCGTATTTATTGAAAATATTTTAAACTCTGTATTTGCAATAATATATCTATTAAAAGTTACCTGAAACAAATTGGCTAAACTAATGACTATAGATTAATAAATATTATCTTATTATTTTATATTGTAACTTTGATTAAATTAAATCTGATAAAGATGTGCATTAAAAACTTCTTTCTTTTTTGTTGGCAAAGTAGTTTTTGATATGCATTAATCTATGTAAATATTATAGTATTGTTTGTTGTCTGTCCATGTAACTACTTTGCAGGGTGTGGATGGAGGTTCATTAGGTCCATGTGGGGGTACATACAAATTTTCAGTTTTTATGGGCATTTTTTACTACTACTTCACCCCCTGTTGATGGATCTTCATCAGATCTGGCACTAATGTTTGTTAGGTCTACGTGGGGATACAAGCAAATGTGCGGTTTCACATTTGTTATGGGCATTTTCTACAATTACATATAAGGGAAGCAACTTTTAATGTCCTAAGATAACCTATCATTAATTTAAATAACTTGTGTCAAAGGGACAGGTACTCCGGCTAAAAGTAAAATAGAATAATGAAATGGTTTTGACACATTTTTTCTTAAAAATTTAAAATGTTGAAAATTCTTCTGTGCCAGATATACATGCATAAAGTACATTCCATTGAGTAAGTAAATATCAGTCTTTATTTTCACTAGTTGTAAATCACATGTACATTATCCAATAAGGTGTTAGGATTACCTTTCTTGGAATCCAAGTATAAAATTAATACACAAGTAAGTTTTGCTACGATTCTTATTATATTAAAAAATTTAAAAAGCCATACACATATGCATGTTAACATTTGAGGTAAACATACAGAAAAGGAACATGCACCTGTAAATGTTTAAGGTAATGTTAAATCAAAAAATACTAAACAAATGTGGGAATCGAAAGAAAGT